GTTCATCTCCTCGCACAATTCCTCGAGTGGGGTGAGTAATTGTCTTGTGAATATTTGAAGTTTTCGATGCATTGATTGGGGTGTCTAGTGGTCAATTTTATGTCTAGTGTCAAGTTTTAGGGGCGTTTTTGGCAATGTTACGTCAGCAGACGACTGGGTTAAAAAATGTTTGTGAAAGTGGATTCCTGGACACCAATTGTTCTCCACGGTTTATGCTATCCTGATCATTGTGAGCCTAACAAATTTTTTTCGGTTTACTTTACTGAAGTCCGTACCTTGTAGTATAGTACCTACCTCTCGATATACGATTTTGAACTCTATGCTTCCCCCTTGTAATGCGATCTCGAATTGCAGACGGGAGCTCTGTCATCAGAGGTACGTATCGAACATTTTTCAAAGATTTTTGCTACCCTGGTCATTGTGAGCTTGTGAAGTCCGTACATACATATTCGGAAGGCTGTGGATGTGATTGGTTCCAAATACTTATAAAGAACGTGATATTTGGTCCTCAGATTTAAAGGAAAATGCGCAATTTGAGGATTAGCAAGGATAGTAATACATCTGTGCCAACTCATGGCGCTTATTACATGACTAAAACAGTGCATGGTATGTGAAGTAACGAAAGAAATGATGTCTTGCAGCGCGGGAAATTATATGAGATTTTAAGACAAGCTCCTGGTATTATAACGGGAGGATTTATAATTATTCCCTTGTTCTATAATCCTGCCCTCATATTGGCAAATTACCAAATACCTTGGTACACGCACTCTATAGTTCGACACGCACTCTAGTTCGACACGCACTCTATAGTTCGACACGCACTCTATAGTTCGACACACATTCTATGACTATAGTTTGACACGCACTCTATAGTTTGACACGCACTCTATAGTTCGTCACGCACTCTATAGTTCGACACGCACTATATAGTTCGACACGCACTCTAGTTCGACACGCACTCTATAGTTCGACACGCACTCTATAGTTCGACACGCACTCTATAGTTCGACACGCACTCTATAGTTCGACATACATTCTATGACTATAGTTCGACACGCACTCTATAGTTTGACACGTACTGTAGTTCGACAAACCCTAAGGTTCAACTCCGTCGGACTAAAGAGCACTACCTGGACTCAAGATCGACACGCACTTCGACAAAAGAACTTCGAACTAGAGTTTTGAAATCTCCCATCTTAAGCAACGATCCTTTACGAGCGTGAAATATATTCGTTTGTTTGTTTTCCACTTGTCTCATGCTGTTCATTGACCTCAGACTCAATTGTTAGTCAGCAGAATTGTAGACTTCGCGGATAAAAGACTATCGTGGTAACTTATAGTTATACTCCGTTTTATAGACATAGATTATAGATCAGTACCGTACTGATCTACATTCTACAATCTAGATCTATAAAACGGAGTATCAGTTAAATGTTCATAGATGTGGATTATAGAGATTACATTCACACGTCATAGTTAAACAGCATAATATAGCGTATCACAATGCTGGCAAGCATTACCGTCGCCCTTATATTCACAACACTATTTACCCCCTATACGATTATATCCCCTTTATTGTTTTCCAGGCATTAAGACTCATCGAAAGTAGTTCAGCAGGTACATTTAAGTTCAAAACATTCTAATTCAATGTTGAAGATGACAGGAATAAGAAATAGTTGTATGGAGGTTTTTAAGAAATTTGCGCAAAATACGCGCCAGCATGTTATACGAAATTAGGTAAAAAACCCAAAATCGCCATATTCAGGTGCCTTAAAAACCATGTTAAAATTGAGTTAGAGATCTGAAACTTTGCAGGGCGTCTAGACCTTGTCCAAATCGACTGTAAAAAAAATGTCATGTTTCAGGAGTATCGGGAAGTGGGTTTTCTGGAACCCCTGTTTTACAACAGATTGTCGTGAAGATATATATGTATGTATAGACGCTTTTTGCAGTCAATTGTAGCCTACATTTAAGTGTCCGTAGATTCAAAAGTATAAACGATACAGTCATTTCGAACCACAGGTTTTAAAGATAATTGTTTAAGCTTTAGTTTACATTGTATTGAAAAATAATTTAACGTCATCATCATCACTTGATGACGTCATCAAGTTAAGTGTTTTTAAAACTTGACTTTTGACAAAGTAACAACTTTTTAAATCGATTTTACACTATTAAGGAGTAATTTTATTCAAAATCTGAGGACATTTTCATCTTAGATAATTGTTCAAGCATTCCGAAAATCTACCGGAATAGTTTCCTACCTTGCTCCTTCATAAAGATATTTGCTATTGAAGTTAGTGCTTTTTTGAAGAATAATTTTATAAAAACACAAAAGTTGTGAATTAGTATTCTCTGGTGTTGGGCCATCCCTTGGGTTGTGGAGCTCAATTTTGCTTCTTAAAGGTGTAAATTGTGTTATAGGCTAGTTTTAAAGTTAAAAATCGAAAAGTTGCACACGTGGGGACACGCCCAAATTCATTTAAAATCGCTAAAATCGCTAAAAATTTTGATTTTCACGATTTTTATCAACTTTGGAGTCCCGCTGTGATCCAAGTTCTTTTTGAAATCTTCTGAAACTTTGCATGCTTATCAAACTATATATTAAATACCACTATGCAAAAATTTACGGTGATTCAATATTGTATGCGCACGCGACGTCCGCTCAAAGTTTGCACGTGCGAAAGGTGAGAAATTTGCTCATTCGTGATTTCGAATATATTCTGCTTTCCACGATATTTAAATGGCATTATATATGAATTTAATGCCAACTTGAATGAGTAAAAAGTGCCATATTCAGTCGGTTATCGACAGAAATACCTAACTAAACACAAGGAAACGTTTTCAAAGGCAGAATTTCGAAATCGTCGAAATTACCTCCTTGTTAATGAAGTTTCGACTAGCTGTGTAAATTATCCTGACATTATAATCAAAAAGAGATGATATTTGACCAAAACCCATAATCATGGGTAGAGTGTACCGCTGCCAGTGTCTCTCTTTTCCAAACAAAAGGAAATGATATTAATTTGAGGAACAGTCCGCTAATGCAAATTGATACCGAGAATGAAATCGGTCGCTCGCTTTTTCCATTCGATCACGGCTTACGAATTGTAATAAAGCTTATTGATTTGAAAAAGCGAGCGACCGATTTCATTCTCGGTATCAATTTGCATTAGCGGACTGTTCCTCAAATTAATATCATTTCCTTTTGTTTGGAAAAGAGAGACACTGGCAGCGGTACACTCTACCCATGATTATGGGTTTTGGTCAAATTGAATCATACTGATTCAGTACTCTATATAAATATCTACCACATACCACACTTTATATTATCACAAACGATCACTAGTAACCGACTAGTGGTATAGAGCTGAATCGGAAACAGTCGGATATCAATCTATTTTCCTGTTAGCTAGACCAGAACCGAGTGGCAAACAGGAGAATTAAAACTATACTGAAAGGTCCTGGAATTTCTAACTGCTGGTTGCTATAGCTATAAATGTCACAAAATTGTTTTATCTGCCATTCAACCCTGTTATCCTATGATGAGGACCCGGCAATAACCGTTGGATCACAAGCAGAAACTAATTGTCGAACTAGAGTACACTACCTGGACTCTAATTCGACACGTACCGAAATTTGTCAGGTGTGATATCTGGCGAACTTCAATCACGAACACAATTTTCGTTACACCCAGCATATGGAGAGATATATTTTGAATTAGTCTTTTTATTTTGATGAAATATCTACGAAAACGTGTGGATATAATATTCTATTCGGTACGCAGGATTTGAGTGAGTTTTTTAGAGTTGAAAATGTTGTTGCAACAATTTCAACCGAGAGTTCACATCATTGCGTGTTGTTTGATGTAAATATTTTTACTGTCTATTCTATTATTCTAACCTCCAAAGTAAAGTCTTTTGTTAAATGGAACCCTAAAAGCGGTTCAATTTAATAGAATAGAATTACATTTCACGTAATATGTTGCACATAATCATTGAGTCGGAGTAGATGTGATGTTTATCTATTTATGTGCAACACAAACTTGTCGTCAATATCTCTGTTACCTGCACTTGCACCAAAGTCATAGATTTGGACATCGGCCACGATCATAACAAAGATTCAAAGATCAGTCAAGAATTGATTTCATGCAGGGTTTAAATCTCTTTGAGGGATTTTCGGTTCTTTTATACAGAAGTCTTGTTAGGATGTACTTTTTGAATAACCTTTTATCCGCTTGTCTAAACTTCATTTTGTAAAAAGTTACTGATAGTTGTAAATAAAGGTTTAATGGTATTATTATACATCAAATAAAATATTATTTCTATATAATATTGTCTTTCAATCGGTAAAAATCGATTCTCGGGAACTTTACATAGTATATTCATAATATTCATAATATAAACAGAGGGGAACCTATTTTTAAGTTGTCGTTGTAGAATTCAGTTAAATATTAATGCTATCAACATTAAAAATATGACATCTTTACAGAAATCAATTTTTAGTGAATATTCCTGATCCGGCATAGTCCCGTTTTTAATTTTGCCTGGTATTGGTTTCATTCTTTGTCCCAATGACATTTTCTTGATCCTTGCGTACAATAATTTTTTTAATGATCCTTGTCACTCATTACATCAAGATCTCTATAAGTTTTAACGAAGAATTTTGCAGGTAATGAAACTTGACATCACATCAGAAAAGAAGCATCTCATTAACGATGAAACAAGATACTATCAATCAACTGAAAAAGATGAAAAGAGGTCCTATCCTTATCAAGTTAATCTAACGTGGGAGAATTTGACAGTCTCCAACAGATATAACACTGGCAAAAAATCAAACCTAATCCCAAATGCTATGATAATAAACGAAGTATCTGGAGTTGCTCGACCTGGTGACTTTGAAGCAATACTCGGAGCCAGTGGATCTGGGAAAACCACGCTTTTGAAGGCACTGGCGAGCAGGTTATCCAGGAAGCTAGAAGTCAGTGGTGATGTTAAATTCAATGGCTTAACCATCACACAAGATAAGATCAAAGATATGTCAGGATATGTAGGACAAGACGATACCTTCGTCGCTTCAATGACAGTATGTGAAGTTATATTCTTTTATGCAAGCTTAAAGCTGGATCCCCGTATACCAAGGAAAGAAAAAGAGCTTATGGCACTTGAAGCTCTTCAAAAGGTTGGGTTGAGCAAAATAAAGAACAGTTTTGTTGGAGACGTTGACCGGCCAGGTATTTCAGGAGGAGAGAAAAAAAGGTTAGCAGTGGCAACTCAACTTATTTTTGGAGCTTCACTTTTATTCTTAGATGAGGTGACTAGTGGACTAGACAGTTTCATGGCAGAAAGCGTAATCAAAATAATGAAAGATCTGGCTGAATCTGGCTGCACAATATTATGCACTATCCATCAGCCTGCATCTGTTCTTTACGACTTATTTGATAAAGTTTGTCTGTTATCGGAAGGTAAAATAGCATTTTTTGGCAGTCACACTGATGCTCTGACACACTTTGAAAAAGCCGGATACTCATGTCCTCCGTACCACTGTCCAGCCGATCACTTCATCTACACTCTTGCTATAAAATCTGACGACGAGGTCAAATGTAGAGAAAGATGTGCCGACATCGTACAATTTTACAAGATATCGACATTTTACAAAACAGTCATCACTGACATTGAGTCAATTTCAAAGTATCCCAACAATATTAACAACAAAGATGTAACTACCACACATAAAGCTACAACATGGGGTCAGTTTTCGGAGAACTTCTGCAGAAGTGTAAGAGAGATGAAAAGGAATCCCAAATATGCCCGGGGACGAATAATTTCGGATATTCTTGCTATCGTTTTCTTGGGATTTTTCTACTTTAACACAAGCAATAACATTGATACGATCAAGGTGGATAAAGGTGGCGTTATTTTCATTTTAGTGTTGGTCTATGCAGTAAGGTCCATTGGTTGCTCTGCACTCAAAATCCCATTGGAATTCCCCGTCATCAGGAGAGAATATAAAAATGGACTATACTCAACCCTGTCTTATTTCCTTTCGGTTGTGTTCTGTGAGTACCTGTTCGTCATTCCGTCTCTTCTCGTTGAACTAGCTATCTTCTACTTCATAGTAGGTTTAAGATCGGATCTACAGGCATTTTTCACCGCCTATGCTTGTTTGATCGCCATAATCTGGGCATCTAATGGAATAGGTTGGTTGATCGGAGTTGCGGCCGAAAATCCTAAGGTAGCCGGTGCAATTCCTGCAGCATTCACTGCACCATTTATTTACCTTGGAGGCTTTCTGAAGGATGATGACGGGGTTGGTGTTCACCTCTTTGTTTTTAAATACCTGTCCTGGATAAGATATGGATATCACACCTTGATGGTCAATGAATTTAGAGATCTAACACTGGACTGTGGTGATGAAGAATGTCCATATAATGGCACAACTATTTTACTTGAAATGGGGATTAACCCAAATGAAGTGTGGTGGCCCAATATGGTTTGCAATTTTGTTGTTGGACTTGGATGCAATCTGTTAACCTGTTTACTTCTTCCTTACAAAATTGCTCGGTAACAAACTATGGTCAATGAAGAACAGGGACAAAAGGAAATCGCGGCATGTACGGGATCGCGTTTTTTCCCATTATTTGGCCAAAATTACCGCGAAATCCTTTTGTCCCTGATGAAGAATGGCTGAAAGATTCGCTAAAATCCCGTCCAGCTATCCATGCATGATCATAAAGTTATCAACATTCTATTTAAAACAGTCTAATTTCAAACCATGGATCCATATAAATTTTATTTGGCTTTGAGTAAACAAAAAATCTCTTAAAATACAGTTTTGATGTGCTGAACCCTTTTTTCGGTGACATAAAATTAACAATACATTTATTATTGTAAAACGATTTAACACAAATTATTGATTACTATTTTTCTCCAGAAATTCCTGAAAACTTTACTGATCTTATTGGCTCAACAGCATTTAAGAATTCTACACTACATTCGCTGATAATCACGTCTTATTTTTAATAGTATCAATTAACTTCCTTCATTGCTTTTCATTTATCTCAATCTGTAACTTAGACAGTTTTAAGTGATATTATCGGCAAACTATTTCCTTATAACACTTTTTGCAGGAAAGTATATTGTCGATATGGTTTCAGAAGAGAGTTTAAAGTTAGATCAAACCGAAGGAATTTCATCACCTGACAAGAGCAAGAATAGATCCCATTCTTCTGAAATTCATCTATCTAACCCCTCCGAAATTCATCTAACCTGGAAAAACTTGTCAGTTTTCTCCCCTCTATCTGTAGGGTTCAGTTGTATGCGAAACAAAAAGTCTGACCTAATCCCAAATATCTTACTAAACGAAGTATCTGGAGTTGCTCGCCCTGGTGACTTTGTAGCAATACTCGGAGCCAGTGGATCTGGGAAAACCACGCTTTTGAAGGCACTGGCGAGCAGGTTATCCAGGAAGCTAGAAGTCAGTGGTGATGTTAAATTCAATGGCTTAACCATCACACAAGATAAGATCAAAGATATGTCAGGATATGTAGGACAAGACGATACCTTCGTCGCTTCAATGACAGTATGTGAAGTTATATTCTTTTATGCAAGCTTAAAGCTGGATCCACTTATACCAAGGAAAGAAAAAGAGCTTATGGCACTTGAAGCTCTTCAAAAGGTTGGGTTGAGCAAAATAAAGAACAGTTTTGTTGGAGACGTTGACCGGCCGGGTATTTCAGGAGGAGAGAAAAAAAGGTTAGCTGTGGCAACTCAACTTATTTTTGGGGCTTCACTTTTATTCTTAGATGAGGTGAGTAGTGGACTAGACAGTTTCATGGCAGAAAGCGTAATCAAAATAATGAAAGATCTGGCTGAATCTGGCTGCACAATATTATGCACTATCCATCAGCCTGCATCTGTTCTTTACGACTTATTTGATAAAGTTTGTCTGTTATCGGAAGGTAAAATAGCATTTTTTGGCAGTCACACTGATGCGCTGACACACTTTGAAAAAGCCGGATACTCATGTCCTCCGTACCACTGTCCAGCCGATCACTTCATCTACACTCTTGCTATAAAATCTGACGACGAGGTCAACTGTAAAGAAAGATGTGCCGAAATTGTCCAATCTTACGAGAGATCAACATTCCATACGAAAGTTAACACTGACATTAAATCAACTTCAAAAGCTTTCAAGAATATCAACAACAGCTATATAGAAACAAAACTGAAAGCAAAGTTCTGGGATCAACTTTCAGAAACCTTTCGGCGTAGTCACACAGAAGGGCTCAGGAATCCTCGGATAACCCGAGCACGCTTTACAGTTTGTATCATCATATCGTTCATTTTAGGTTTCATCTACTTTGGGACGGACAATGACATCTCCTCAGTTCGTACTAACAAAAGTGGTCTATTCTTTATGTGTGTGATGTCCTTTACTGCGTCATCAATGAACTTCTCAGCTCTAAGAATTGCACTTGAAGTTAACATTATCAAAAGGGAGTACCAAAATGGGTTGTACACGATTTTACCATACTTTATATCGGTCGTGTTACTTGAGCTCCTAGCACTCGTTCCCTTTGTGCTCCTTGCTTTGGTCACTTTCTACTTTATGTCTGGCTTGGTGATAAGTGCAGGAGCTTTCTCTACTGCTTTTGTTTCTTTACTGGTCTCATGTTTTACGTCTTCTGGCATAGGTTGGTTCATAGGAGTGGCAGCAGAAGATCCAACATCTGCAAAAGCCATTTCAGCGAGTATAGTTCTTCCCTTTATGATCGTGATGGGCCTGTTAAAACACGTGAAAGAAACTGTTTACCTCATTCCCATCAAATACCTGTCCTGGTTAAGATATGGATATCACGCGATGATGATCAATGAATTCAAAGATCTAACACTGGACTGTGGTGATGAAGAATGTCCATATAATGGCACAACTATTTTACTTGAAATGGGGATTAACCCGGGTGACCTGTGGTGGCCCAATATGGCTTGCAATTTTACAATCGGAGTTGTCATCACTGTTATGGCCAGCCTTCTACTTGCGTTCAAGACTAGACAGTGAAAAACTTCTCGTCTCATTGGATCTGCATGAAACTGTGTTAGAATGCAATGATTGGAGAGAAAACTTATTGTTTCATTGAATTTAATTTTCGTTAAAAAACCATTTTTATGGGCTTTTAAAGCATGATAGTTCTAGCATAAGTTAAATTTCCCATTTAAAATTAATGATTGTTTACCTATCAAATGATGGGTTGGAAAAGTATGTTATATTATTTATTGTCTTAGTGTATCATATTATATTATCTAAAGTTATAACGAATTATAAACGCGTTTTTTCTGGTTACTGCTTTTATTTTAGACATAAATTATTTACCTATACAAATGAGTGTATACACTTACAGTGGAAGATGACTAAATTTTTATCATCTACGAAGTCTAAATTATGTCTAAATGAACAAAGTTGACCAAATGTGCTGTGGACTTATTTGACTCTTAATGTTTGTGTACTGATTACTGACTGAGGTGAATACTGTTACAAGACCATAATTAACTTTAGATTTGTTTGGAGAGGCGAATAATACACAGTTTAAGACCATAATTAGTGTTAACTGTTCAGTGAATACTGTTACAAGACCATAATTAATGTAAACTGTTTAGTGAATACTGTTACAAGACCATAATTAGTGTTAACTAATTAGTGAATACTGTTACAAGACCATAATTAGTGTTAACTGTTTAGTGAATACTGTTACAATACCATAATTAGTGTTAACTGTTTAGTGAATACTGTTACAATCCATAATTAGTGTTAACTGTTTAGTTAATACTGTTACAAGACCATAATTAGTGTTAACTGTTTAGTGAATACTGGTACAACACCATAATTAGTGTTAAATGTTTAGTGAATACTGTTACAAGACCATAATTAGTGTTAACTGTTTAGTTAATACTGTTACAATCCATAATTAGTGTTAACTGTTTAGTGAATACTGTTACAAGACCATAATTAGTGTCAACTGTTTAGTGAATACTGCTACAAGACTATAATTAGTGTTTCAGTTTGCTATGCGGGAGAAACTGCAATTATTTTTGAATTCTGAAAAGTTCTCACGCGCTATTAAGGAGGTAAAAGCGTGTATTTGGTGTAAAGTAATATTTATATCGGTTATTGTAAACCGAGACGGTGCCCGTGTGGTTCTAATGACCAATTTTAATTTTAACAAATATATAACTACAAAAATTTTTCCGCGGTTAAAGTTAAACCACGCACGATCAATTTTCCCTAAGTAAAGAGGTCCTTGAAGTTAAATACCATTAATTTTTCGAGTGAAAAGTGTGACCGGAAAAAAGTGCAAATTATAATTTGCACTTTTTTCCGGTCACACTTTTCACTCGAAAAAATTAATAATTAATTATTTACATACTACGTTTTTTATTGTATCACGTTGCGACCCCCACGGTTGTTTCACTATGGTGGTATTGTCCTGACGATACAGGGGGAGCCGCGCACTTCGTGCGCGGCGGGTCATACTGCATACAACGTTTGACAACTCAATGACAAGTTTTTTTATTGTTTATAAATAAGTGGGATTTGTGCATTACATGGTAAAAATTGACGATTTTTTGAAAAATGTAGCGTGTTTTAATTCATAATAAGAGCTGATAAAATCCTTTGTAGAAATAACATTGTAGGTTTATAACCTACCAGGACGCACGCCGCGAGTTGTATTGGACTCGTCGACGGTCATAATATAATTATATGGAACAAATATTTTACGAGTATCACCCGTTAAAGTTACTGGGCCGCGCTCAGCCTGTCATTCCGCCGAATCTCTATGTTATTGTTAATGAACATGATAGCCTGAGGTCCCCAGGTAACCGTTAAAGATAAAATTGAAACTGAGGCCAAGGGATAATATGGGTCAAATATATTTTGTGGCGAATTAATCGATTTGACTTGACGTTAATCATAATGTTATTGCTTGTAGGTTTACAACCTACCAGGACGCGCGCCGAGTTGGACTCTTCGCGACGGTCCTGGAACAGATATTTTACGAGTATCACCCGTTAACGTTCGCGTTAAACTTAATTATTAGTCAAACCCTGTTATGAAGTATGGATCAACGTCCAAAAACACTTCGAATGAAGTTTCGTGAACACCCTCTGAGCCCTTTCGGAATATTTTTAGGAGAATTTTCAATTTTGGCCAGCGATTTTGTGTGAGCGTTGATATATTGCATAATATGCATCGAGCAGTACATCTGCCTTGATAATAATCCAAGAAAAGAAACAAAGTCGTGATTTCTAAGCTTTAAAGTTTTGAAAAAATCATAGCACAAAGAGTCATTACAAAACTTTCAAACCAAAAAATGTATGTTTGTAAGTATTGGGCAAGTAAGCGGGCAGCTGTAAAAGTTCTATAAACTTCTAGTGTTCCTCCTCCTTTTGTCAATGTTTTAACGTTTAAAAGAGTCTAGTATTCTTCGTCATCTTCCTCTCCCCCTTCTTCAACAGAGTCGACACCGACCTCTTCGTAGTCCTTCTCCAGAGCAGCCAGATCCTCTCTAGCCTCGGAGAACTCTCCCTCCTCCATACCCTCTCCTACGTACCAGTGGACAAAGGCTCTCTTGGCGTACATCAGATCAAACTTGTGGTCCAGACGAGCCCAGGCCTCAGCAATGGCAGTGGTGTTGGACAACATGCACACAGCTCTTTGGACCTTGGCCAGGTCACCTCCAGGAACAACAGTTGGTGGCTGGTAGTTGATGCCAACTTTGAATCCAGTGGGACACCAGTCGACAAACTGGATGGTTCTCTTGGTCTTGATGGTGGCGATGGCAGCGTTGACATCTTTAGGGACAACGTCTCCACGGTAGAGAAGACAGCAGGCCATGTACTTGCCGTGTCGGGGATCGCATTTCACCATCTGAAAGGTTTGAATCCGTTAATAATGATCGTTTAATAAAAATGGGGAGACGCCACCACCGATTGCAATTTATTTGACAAATTTCAGGTCTTCCGATTCTCATTATTGAAAAATTGGCGAAGTTGACCGACGTTTCGTTGAACCCTGTGCTCAAGATGTGAGTGCACGGAGTGTAAAAGTCTTCTTAATTTAAATTGTGATATATATAGGGTTCCCACACTTTATTGAGTTATTACGACACTGTGATCTTCGTGTGAAATTATGATTATTCCTTTTATTATATTTGGCTAATCCCATACTATTCAAGAAAATAGGGATTCTAAAGAATCAACTCTGATGTATGGTTCAGCTCATCCTGTTGAATATACAATAACATAAACCCGCCACGCAAAGGGTTTATATAACAGATCATCCCGCGCTAGCGGGATGATCTGATAAACACATACGAGTGCGCGCAGCGCACGAGTTTTGTGTTAATATGTAATCCGGAAGCGCCAGCTGAGGGATTACATTTATTTAGCCCTGAGCGTGAAGTGTTTATGGATTATAATTATCTCCGGCGATTTCGACAAGGGATTTATACTTTAGAAGAGAGTGATTGGAAAGCAGTTCATCAATCTGAATGTCAAACCGATCTGTCATAGTGGAGCAATAGCTTGAACGTTAGCAGGAACAAGAGCTGGAAGGAGAGCAAGCAAAACAATACTATTTTTAGGGCACGGACAAGGGTAGCTGGCTAGTCGCCAACTTCTCACGCCACGCGTTGGAGAAATTCCAAGAATTAGCTGCTTTGGCAACGTTCCCAGGAATTTCCGTGTAAAAGAAGTGGACGGTTACGATGTTTCATATCACGTGGTGCGCTATCGTGTCACGTGGTATAGACTCGGCGTATGCTATTGGTGGCACGTGGTACGCACGTGACGCGCCCACGTGATCGCGCGTCTAACTGTTCTACTATTATCGAGTTCTAATCAGCAGTATCATTGATTATTGTAAGTAGGAGAATTGAATGATAAACATCAGTTACGACTAAAAAGCGGGCCGGGTTTATACAAATTTCCGGGGCGGGATGATATCACCTTGAGATGTTTATCTAACAGCGGGCCGGGCTGAGTGATAATATGATCCCGCGTCGAAATCCCGGAGATATTTATAATACTCCAACACGAATGGATAATCCCTGTAGTATTTGTTTGTTAGGCCGTTGTCCTGACAATCATCATTTAAAACCTTGAGGCTTGAGCCAAACGGTATTATTCCCGCCATCTCCATAGCAACTGTACATCGCCCATCGCAAATTGAATCGGTAAGTGGATTAAAGAAGTATCGTGTGTCCCGCACAATTAGTAGACAGAACCACGTGGTGATGACACGCAGGAGACCTCCAACATGCTGCATCATAAGATCCTTAATCACGTGACGTTGCACGTGCAGTTCCTGGACATGTCACGTGACCATGACACATCCTTACTGTTATTATTTAGTCGCCTGTGTGGCGCCACCCTCCAGATCAAAACTCGTGAGCTCTCTACGAGGACAAAGGGGACCAATGGATATGAGGGGGTATTAATGCTGCGTGTAGAAGATTCTAAGGGATTTGTGAGATATTGGTAAGAGAGTTGACAAGCAGGAGAGAGATTTGACAAGCAGGAAACATTTGCCAAGCAGCATTCAAATTAAATGACACCTCTGGAGACTTATAGTTCAGTTTAGTTTTAACATATACTTCCAGTTCACACTTGCGTCATTTATATTCAATTTAACATTATGCGATGGTAACGAATGAAGAGAGTGTGTTTGAAACTCTATAAAATCTCTGAACTAAATGAGAAGCAGTATGGCTTCACAGTTCTCACCCTAACCATTAGCCTCACCCTCCACTCTCCAGCTCTTACTCTAACTACAACACTACAACACTACAACTCTAACTACAACACTATATCCCAACAAGCACCCTCTTTAAAGTGTGAAATGTTAAGGTTTATACTGAAATTACAGGTCCAATACAATGGTTAGAGAGCACCAAAAATGTACACCATAAAAAAAGCGAAACAGTAAACACTGACCTGGTTGGCAGGCTCGAAGCAGGAGTTGGTGATCTCGGAAACAGAGAGCTGCTCGTGGTAAGCTTTCTCAGCGGAGATAACTGGAGCATAAGTAGCCAGAGGGAAATGGATCCTAGGGTAGGGTACCAAGTTAGTCTGGAACTCTGTCAGATCAACATTCAGAGCACCGTCAAATCGGAGGGAAGCAGTGATGGAGGATACAATCTGGGCCATTAGTCTGTTTAAGTTGGTGTAAGTTGGTCTTTCAATGTCCATGTTTCGTCGGCAGATGTCGTAAACGGCCTCGTTGTCGACCATGAAGGCACAATCAGAATGTTCGAGGGTGGTGTGAGTGGTCAGGATGGAGTTGTAGGGCTCTACCACAGCAGTTGAGATCTGAGGAGCAGGATAGATGGCGAACTCAAGTTTGCTCTTCTTTCCATAGTCCACACTCAGTCTCTCCAGGAGAAGAGAGGTGAATCCAGATCCAGTACCTCCACCGAAGGAGTGGAAGACGAGGAATCCTTGGAGACCAGTACACTGATCAGCCAGTTTCCGGAGTCTGTCCAGGCAGAGGTCGACAATATCTTTTCCGACGGTGTAGTGACCTCGGGCGTAGTTGTTAGCAGCATCCTCCTTTCCAGTGATGAGCTGCTCAGGGTGGAAGAGCTGTCTGTAGGTTCCGGTCCTCACTTCATCAACAACAGTCGGCTCCAAGTCAAGGAACACTGCCCTAGGGACGTGTTTCCCGGCTCCAGTCTCACTGAAGAACGTGTTGAAGGAGTCATCACCACCTCCGATGGTCTTGTCAGAAGGCATCTGGCCATCAGGCTGGATACCATGCTCCAGACAGTAGAGTTCCCAGCAGGCATTTCCGATCTGCACACCGGCTTGACCAAGATGAATAGAGATACACTCACGCTGAAAGAATTAAGCTTTTAGAATGGGCGATACGGTTTTCTAGCGGTCATACGGAATAATTGTAATGCTCTAAATATTTTTAGTACACTGAATTCGACAACTATTGCTTGAAGACTGAAACGTAATATATGATAAGAGTATAAAGCTAAAGTATTAGTTCATTTAACTTACCATATTTAGGCTGAATAAAAACTAAGACTCAGTAAGAGTAACGACGAACCACTGAGACAATAATTTTGCAATGAGAAAGGATGTACATTCTCAGTCCTTAAAGCCTTGCGCTGGCAACTTGCCAGCATGATAGTCATCTGCCGGTTTCACGCGCTCTCATTGGTTAAGAAAAGTGTCATCTGCCGATTTAACGCGCTCTCATTGGTTAAGAAAAGTGTAGGTCGGGTCACGTGACTGCGCGCGTGATCTCTTGGTAACGCGGGACCACATTAGCGGCATATTGATCATATAAAGAAAGGGAGGGATCGCTAGAGAGGTCTCTCGATAGTAATTAAGTTATTAGGGACTTATTTGCTCATTAAACCCAGACTAATTAAGGTGGGACCTTCAAACTTGGTATAACTCAGAATATCACCAAGAGGCACTCGGCGCTGTAAATTGAGTCAGATCCGACCATTATTTTCTGAGATCGAGTTTAATCGTCTCTATGATGAACATTACACACTGATGAGACCATAGACTAGATGCAAGATTCACAGCCTTATAGAGTGGCTCCGGAGTGACATTTTAATTAAGTTACATTATAATGCATGCTCGAAGATATTACAAATGACACGCGGTCACTGGTTTGGCCCTGAATTGTGAATGATGAATGACTCATGAATTTAATGGATTGGCTGGAAAATCTAATATGTTTGTAATATCATCAATCCCACTCCAACTGACGTTGAAATGATATGAAATGAAACAGAGAATTTCCATCCCGTTCATACTTCATACTCATAGCCATATCGATAAAATATGTTGAAAAAGGCAGACCGATCCCTAGCTTACTGGGCAGCGCTCAGCCTGTCATTCCGCCGAATCTCTATTAGTATTGTGAACATAAATATAATAGCCTGGGGTCCCCAGGTAAACAGATCCCTAGCTTTTAGGATGCTCTAAAAGTTAAACCCAGTAAAATTTCGTAATCCAGTCTGGCTCTGATTCCCCCTTTATTCTTTCTTATTCTATTTCTCGAGAATTGGGTCTCAAGCGCTGTTTCGATTTGTATCTCATATACATATATATATATAATCTCATAAACAAACAAACAAACATATATAATCTCATATATAACCATTTATTTATTTATCTACGATATTATGTTTTTTTGTTTGGTTGAATAACTTTCATTTAACTGATTGGGATCTGACACATGTAATTTTGTAATGATCTTTCTTATTTCTAATTTCTAATTTCTATATATAATAGAACTACGCTACTTACCGGTGTCTACAAGATCAATAAGAATGGAGCTCAAGCAGAGTGCATAAACCGACTTTTTATCGGTTCTGTGAAAACTAAACGAGAAAAACACGAGTTTATGGACTCTCGAGTTCAAGTCCATAAACTCGTTGCATGTAATTTTTATGTAAGGTGTTCCTCATCTCTAAAAAATTAACATACGAAAGTAATAATAATATAAGCACAACTGAAACTCAGAGCTTTTGAGAGAACTGGTAAGACCACAGTGACTGTGAGTGATCAGTGAACCTTGCGACCATTGTAAGGTGGAGTTTTACGTGTCACACAAATAAAGAGTAGATAAACCAGGTGCAAATTGAACAGTTTATACAAATTACAACACGATCAACCTTTGTAGCATGTGCATTGCACAAAAAGCCATTTGCACATTGTGCAAATGGCTTTTTTTCTAGAGTACTGCCATAAAAACGGTCATATACTGCCTCGCTGGAAAAAGTTCTGGGCCAATTTTGTCATTATTCATTCCCTAGTAGTAGTAGTAGTAGTATTTTTCGGTACAGCATTGAGCATGATGCAACGGACCTCTACCAATACCATGTAGACCAATACATAAGCAAATGTATTTGTAACTGTAAGGCACTTCCTTGATTCCTGAGTGTAAACGTACAAAACGTGATTCTATTGTCCTTTAAACTGAAAGTTGTTGATGATACTGTTACGCTTACTGTCGAGAGCCCATGTGACAGTTACAGTAGCAAATCATAATAAAAATAGAAAATTTTATCTGCTCACCTATAATAGCTTGAGCTCACTTGTTTTATTGGTTCAATTATAATTATAATGTGTAATTTAAAATATTGTTGTCCTTTTTAAAACTTTTTGAGAGTTATGTTACACGCACATGAGTGTTCTGTAAAATAGTGAAGATTATACCCTGGTGATAGTCAGGGCTTAAAGTTGTATTGTTAGCCCGAGCGTGCTAAATCACTTTACACTCAAGAGGATTACACGACAACCCTCACATTTATTTTGCAATAAGAAGGAAAATACCGTCTACACTAGGTTCATATAATTGAACTGTTGCAAGTTCAGATAAACATTTGTATTCAACCATCACAATTCACATTTCCTGCTTTTCGCACAATGTTCGCCATCTGTCGAGAAAATCAGCTTGCTGTGAGAGCAATACATTTATATCGATTAAGTGATTGAACTCTGAGAGCTACGTAACGTTCTTATTGTTCTGCAGAGAGATTCCCTATAACAGCACGTGGATACAATAAGGCGTTGCTAGTGGTCAATCCCTGAAACTCGTGCATGCAATTCATGGCTGACAGTGACGCTTAATCTTCCAAAGAAGGTGAGGCTAAGTATAGAGGAGCCCTACATTATAATGCTAATAGTGATAGTGGGCCCAGTTTGCTCTCTCATGTCCTCTTCAAATCGCTTTACATTTGCATCTCTCCTGACAGTGGTGATACAGGATTTACTCCCTATTATATAGCTCTCATATCGTCCCACACCTTGTAAATTTTACGTGATATACACTGTATATTATACAGTGGTACCTCGTTATCACGCGGTCCTCGTTACAACGCAGTTGTATTGTATAATATTAATATGGATTATGGTATAAATTATTTTCTTCCTCGATGCACGTTAGAGCAAGGTTTTACTGTAGTTCAAGGAATTATTATAATGGCGATTATATTATTAACTTATCAACTGAAATATATCTCGGGCAGCGCAAATATAATTATATTTAATGATTCGGCCGACGAAACACTGTGACCCATTCATCAATCTGAAGCAGAAGAGTCAGAAACTGACGTCCAGAAGGAATATGAACATTCGCTCCAAGGACATCCTGATGATCCTGACGTTGTTCCTTGTAGGACCTGCTGTTGGTGAAGGTAAAGACTTATTTGTTGTTGGCAGTTCAGCCAACAACTGCTCGCAAATTAAGCGATACAAATATTTTACTTGTAATCTAAAATCAACCATGTTCATTGTTCATTATCCTGCTTATCTTATCCCTGAATTAAAGTTCGCTAGAATTTTCTGGTGTTTGAAATACGCTAGCTCCAGCTCCTGATGAGATCAATGATTGAGTGACGAGATCACGGATCCGCCAGATTTTAAAATTTACTCGGTTAAATGTTAAACAATCAACTTGAAATTTGAGGAAAGCTTTTCAATTATCAAATCAAATGTGTCTAGAAACTTTTGATACCACCCGTAATAAAATACGGATGGTAATATCGTATCGGAAAATTATCCAACTCAATTCTGAGTGTACGAGATTAAGGACGGGTTCTATAACTAACCAACCAACGTTTTCATTTTATGACAATAATCTCTGAAAAATATAATGTACAATTCTGACACGAATTACGTGAGTTTGGAGTTATTAAAGGGTTTCGTGTGGGCGCTTACTTCTGGGCCACCCTGTATCATTCTTTGTTTTATTTCCACATCTCCGTGTTCCATCCCTCCCAACCCTCCACAGTTAATGCTCTTCCACTCCAAGTTTAAGACATGTTTATCAGTTTATAACGATCATCAAAACACATGTGATCTTTGTGTTAAACTTCCTCTCCTCAGATTTCTCTTATCTTACTTAGTATCATAGTCTCTGATGACTCTTTCCTCTTAGAGTCTCTTTCTCTCTCTCTCTCTCTCTCTCTCTCTCTCTGTTCTGGTCAATCTTAGAGTCATCAGAGATTATTATACATAATAATTGTCGCTGTCAATAGTCACAGTAACTATCGATTGTCTACAACTCTGTAAGGACAGTATGAAATACATGGCCAACTTTCTGTTCTTCCATATAATACGTCTTAATATATACAGCCAGTTAACCTCACCAATTTTTGTAAAGTCTAAGGAGTGTAAAGTCTAAGGAGTGTAAATAAATCACTGCTTTTATTCTCCATAATATCTATTTTAGGCTGGAATAATATAGACCGGGGATCACTGTTCAACTTCGACCTTGAGGGCGTTCCATTGGAGGTACGGACAAACTCAGAAAATAGATTTGACATCTGGTTATACACATCCGAGGTAACTGACTTTTAGTCGTAAATGTTTTCCTATCTATATAGTATGTGGTATGACTATGAATCATAGTCATGTATGATAATTGATAGTACTACATCACATATAATCTTGTATCTATATAATATGTTCAGGACAGGGAGGTAGGAAGGCTGGAGATACACCTTGGTCCGAAGCAGTACTACATTGCTCGGTGCAATGATCTCGGAATACCTGGTAGAGGAAGCTACAGTGGTGCGAGTGGTAAAAACGGTGTTTGGATGATAACATTAACAAAAAGATCTGGAAACTCCCCGAGGCTAGTAGCTTCCTTCAACAATCACGAAATGATCAACATCCTGATGTCTGACTCAACTTGCGATTATCCCGACTGGAAAAGCTATTGGAGCCAGGACGTGGCAAAATTGAAGTTCACATTCAATGCCTCGGCTCAATATCGGATGGGTGAATAAAAATATATGGTTTAGAATCTTAATGTGCTCTTTAAATGATGATAAAATTACCATAGCAAATATAAAATAAATTTACGAAATTTGTGGAATGATGAAAAATGGGAAACAAGTATGGTGGTGGTACTGCATGGTAGTCCCATTAACATTACCCCATTACTATTGAGAGAATAAAGATCTATGACAAAAATTAAACCAATATCCCACACATGACTAAACATCTTCACAGGAGGTTGCGATGGAGTGCCTTCATCATGGTCTTTTACAAAAGTTTCTCCTCAACCACTTGTCACCATGGACACCCGGTTGACTGTGACATGTATCAAACCCGCAACTTTCAACAATGGATTAGGAAGCATCGAAGTTATCTGTAATTATGGAACCTCTTACTCATATTCAGGAAGTATGCCCAAATGCAAGTTACCACTGCCAGGT